TTTTTTTTTTTTTTTTTTTTTTTTTTTTTTTTTTTTTTTTTTTTTTTTTTTTTTTTTTTTTTTTTTTTTATCGTGACGCTTTTCGCGTTTCGTGCCACTTCAGCCAGTTACATTTGCTTCTTGGCCTTTCCATTTTTTAGGAGTCTCACCTTCACTGAAAATAATGCTCCTTTGAGGAAATGAGTTTCAGCCATACAGGATCCGCAGAAAACAAACTCGAACCAACAAATTCAGACTTTGGCGTTAAAGCCTAGCTTCGGCAAATCACTTATAGTGTGTCCTTTCAGAATTACATAGGAGATTGGCAGTATTTTAATTTGTGAGTCTTATTTGGTCCTTTCTCACAAAGGAAATGGACGAGCATTAAGTCGATATATCCATGTGGGTTAAGTATTTGCATTTTTTTTTTTAAGACTGTATTTTTTTAATTTTTTTACTTAATTTATTTTTTTAAATTTACATCAGTTCAGTTCAGCATATAGTACCTTGATTTGAGGGTGGAGCTCATATGCCCATTTAGCCCATCCCCTCCCATCACCCTTCCAGTAACCCTCTTTGTTCTCCATATTTAAGGAGTCTCTTTCTGTTTTGTCCCCACCGTTTTATATTAGTTTTGCTTTTCCCTTCATATGTTTGTCTGTTTGTATCTTAAAGTCGCTCTATGGGTGGAGTCATATGATATTTGTCTTCTCTAATTCCGTAACAATCCTCTAGAATCCACGTAGTTGCAAATGCTTGAATTTCATTCTTTTGATTGCTGAGTAATGCTCCACTGGCATATATATACCACATCTTATCCATTCATGCACGAGTGGACATTTTGGGCTTTTAGATTGTATTTTTAAGGAATCTCAACACTCAACACGGGCTGAAACTTACAACCCCTAGATCAATAGTGCATGCTCTACTGACTGAGCCAGCCAGGTGTCCCCAACACCTAAACGAGGTCTATCACGCACCTGAAAAAAAAAGTTCTAGGGGTTTCAAGCTCCACATCCCAAGGTGTAGCGTGCTCTTGCCTGAGGAATTTTGGTATCTAACAGGGTAATACTCCTTGATGGAAGGGAAAATGCTCCCATTCCTTAAACTGCTAATTGACTAAGGAAGCACATGTACACAACGCTTTTATTTCTGCATGCGCACACGCAGTATGTAATAAAGAACAGGGCTTTGGAGTTGGACGAACTTCAGTTCCAACATTAGCTTGGACAAGCTCAGAGAGTCAGGTCCAGCTCTCTCTGTCAAATCTGGATAATGGTCCTCAACTCAAGTTGTTATAAAATTGCAGCAGGAAGATACACAGGGCAGAACCATGGTCTACAAATGGAGGTCTCACATGGCAGTTTCCTGAAGAGAACAGGAAGACCAGCCGCACCCTGAATGATGAAGAGGCGTGGTTCTTCTTGTTGATGGCCCTTTCATCCAATTATCAAGAAAGGTTGATCATTTACTGAAACAAAAAATTAAAGAGTTGGTTTTACTTTTAAAGAAACCTGTAAACATCACAATATTTTGAAGCTTATCCCAAAGCGCCACTCATGTAATCTAGCTTGATACACATGCAATATGTGACTTTCACCATGTTGATCACACAAGAAAAAACTATGCAAATTAAGAAAAACTCAAGTTGAAACAAAAGACCAACGTGTTTGGTCCAGTAGCTGGAGCCATTTCTGAGCTGGGCATGAGGCATACTCTCTCATTTAAATTTTTGTATTTTTACATTATTTTATAAGAATAATAATTTGGATAGTGAAAAAAACAACACTAAACAACTTCAAAAAATTTTTAATGTTCATTTTTGAGAAAAAGACAGCACAAGTGGGAGGGGGTGAGAGAGAGAAGGAGACACAGAATCTGAAACAGGCTCCAGGCTCTGAGGCGGTCAGCACAGAGCCCGATCTGGCTTCGAACCCATACCCACGAGCTCATGACCTGAGCCAAAGTTGGATGCCCCACCGGCTGAGCCACCCAGGCACCCCCATAAGCATTTTTAATTGCATTTTACATACAAGTAGCTTTTACTAATATTTAAAAAATTAATTAGACATAGCACAGAATACTAGATCATTTAAAATAGAAGAACTCTTGGATCATCTAGACTAGCGTTTCTCAACTCTTGACTATGTATTAGAATTTATCTGTTGTTTTTGAGGGGGGCGGAGAGGCTGAGAGAGAGGGACACACAGGATCCAAAGCAGGATCCAGGCTCTGATCTGTCAGCACAGAGCCCGATGCGGGCCTTGAACCCATGAGCTGTGACATCATGACCTGAGCCGAAGTCGTACTCTTAACTGACTGAGCCACCCAGGCACCCCCTGAATAAATTTTAAAAACAGATAAAACCCCACACTGAAATTATGTCTCTTCTAGATTGTGTAATTCACAATTAAAAATGACCATTTATTGGGGCACCTGGGTGGCTCAGTCAGTTAAGCGACTGACTACGGCTCAGGTCATGATCTCACAGTTTGTGAGTTCGAGCCCCGCGTCCGGCTCTGTGCTGACAGCTCAGAGCCTGAAGCCTGCTTCAGATTCTGTGTCTCCCCCTCTCTCTACCCCTTCCCTGTTCAGGCTCTGTGTCTCTCTGTCTCTCAATGATAAATAAACGTTTTTTTTTTTTTAATTTTTTTTTTTTAATGTTTAGTTATTTTTGAGACAAAGAGACAGAGCATGAACAGGGGAGGAGCAGACAGAGAGGGAGACACAGAATCTGAAACAGGCTCCAGGCTCTGAGCTGTCAGCACAGAGCCCGACGCGGGGCTTGAACTCACGGACCGTGAGATCGTGACCTGAGCCGAAGTCGGACGCTTAACCAACCGAGCCACCCAGGCGCCCCTAAATAAACGTTTAAAAAGATTAAAAAAATAATTTAAAAAAATGACCATTTATTCACAAGGAGGTAAATTTGTTGAGCATGAGATTCTTTCATTCACCATATTTACTGAGCGCCTTAATGATGAGTTAGGCACTACATTTGGTGCTAATTCAGTGGTGAGAGAAAGGAAGGTTCTGCTAATTAGACAAGAATCTAGGACTTCTTTGGAAGAATCTCATCTGGTAAAACTTGGACTGAGATGCTAACATTTTAGATGTTTATAAACACTGCCTTAAAACATGTTATTCTGCACAGGGAAAACCATGCTTCTTTCCATGTAAAATTTCAATATGAAATAAATAGCATCATGTGATTATTTCTCTGTATTAAAACACAGGGGGCATTATTTCTTTAGTGCCTATATATAGACAGAAGAGGGGATCTCTTACGGTTTTTAAAAACATTTCTTTATTTACTTATTTATATTTGAGAGAGAGAGAGTATGAGTGGGGAAGGGGCCAAGAGAGAATCTTAAGCAGGTTCCATGCCCAGCACAGAGCCCGAGGTGGGGCTTGATCTCCCAACCCTGAGATCATGACCTGAGCCGAAAGCAAGAGTCCCATGCTCCAACGACTGAGCCACCCAGGCGTCCCTTCTTACTTTTTTTTCTTTTAGAAGAAATGTTAAAAATTTTTTATTTTTGAGAGAGAGACAGAGTGTCAGCCAGGGAGGGGCAGAGAGAGAGAGAAGCAGAATCTGAAGCAGGGCTCACACCCGTGAACCATGAGATCATGACCTGAGCCAAAGTCAGAGGGTTAACTGACTGAGCCACCCGGGCGCCCCCTGGAGCATGCTCTTAGCCATCATGCCTCACTGCTTCAACAGAGTCCATCAACCGACAAAGTGTTGGTAATCTTACATCCTTTCTGCCAAGATAGGATGAGAACTGAAGAGGAGTGTCGCTTCTTTTTTTCGAAGCCACGGTACTTTAGAAATAAGTGGACACCGACATACTGAAGTCCAGCAAAGCTGGTCATGGTCTGCTTGCTCAAGTGATGAGAAGAAGCTGGAAGCTGATGGCTTCTTTATAAAGTGGTCCCCACTCTAAATGACTGAGTTTTAGATTCATATTTTGGTGTTCCTTTCTCAGACACGCTCAGAAGTGGGGAGAGCCCTGACAATGTTTTTAATAACTTTTTTAAGTTTCTTTCTTTCTTTCTTTTTTTTTTTTCCAACGTTTATTCATTTTTGGGACAGAGAGAGACAGAGCATGAACGGGGGAGGGGCAGAGAGAGAGGGAGACACAGAATCGGAAACAGGCTCCAGGCTCCGAGCCATCA